CAAAGTTGAGTTGCTCTTTTGTACGGTATCCCTTCAATCCGCTCAAAATATCGGCTTATCTCATCTTGTATATTCATGTACTTACATTCCTTGATTTCTTACTTCTTCCAAATTCTGGGTGATAAAGTGAAAGTTCTGCGTAATAGACCCGCTTGACGGCAGAGTTCAACCGCTTGCTAACGAGTTCACTCACGTCATCTCCTTTGTATACTAACTTCAAAAAAATTTTCCCCTTGGGGACAGTTATTAGGTTGTCTACTTTTGGTGTTACTTTACTATGCTTGACGATGAATGCGTCTGGATATGCGTTTGCTTGTAGTGCTTCATTTACGACGCCGCTTTCCTCGTTTAAACAGTCCTCTGTGTATATTTCACGAGCTCGATGAAATGGTGTGCGTACGAGACCAATTTTGTGTCGCATGGGATTATTTGTCATGTAATTAAGACCAATTTGCAAATCGGATTGCCTAGCAGTGAACTGTCGCGACTTCTACTCCTTTGCACATCAAACGTTAAGTTCTCGTTCCTCGGACAAGGATATCGACAGATAGATGGGGTCGCCATGGGCAGTCCACTGAGACCAATTCTTGAGGACATTTTTCTTGGCCACCTAGAAGAAAGGCTTGAAGAGGATATCTCAAAACTAGATCTAAACTGTCGCTATGTTGATGACATCTTCGTCATAAGCAACGTCAAGGAAGACGGAGAGAACCTATTTAATCGACTTAACAAAATTCATCCCAACATCCAGCGTACTCGTCACGACGAACGGGATGACCGCATGGAGTTTTTAGATGTCGACATTACTCGTCGTTCAGATGGATCATTTAAAAGATCTGTCGTACGAAGGAACCGGTGGTCTGGGCAATACTTGCATTTCACAAGCTTCGCTCCCGTGCAACACAAAATTGGTCTCGTACGCACACCATTTCATCGAGCTCGTGAAATATACACAGAGGACTGTTTAAACGAGGAAAGCGGCGTCGTAAATGAAGCACTACAAGCAAACGCATATCCAGACGCATTCATCGTCAAGCATAGTAAAGTAACACCAAAAGTAGACAACCTAATAACTGTCCCCAAGGGGAAAATTTTTTTGAAGTTAGTATACAAAGGAGATGACGTGAGTGAACTCGTTAGCAAGCGGTTGAACTCTGCCGTCAAGCGGGTCTATTACTCAGTTGACCCAGTCATTGTCTTCATTATCACCCGGATACCAACGAAATCGGTGAAAGAACCATCGCCCCCCTCTGCCAAATCAAATTGTATTTACCAATTCAAGTGTGAATACTCGGTCACCTACATAGGCAGGACAGAGAGGCAGTTACGTCACCGAATGGCCGAACACATCCCGATGAGGCTTAAGAAAGCAATGAACGACAAGTTTGCAACTATTACGTCATCGAATGATCAGAAAAAGCTTAGATCTTCAATAACGCAACACTTGTTCGAACAAAAACACTGCGTCACTCCACCCCACGCATTCCAGGTCATCTACGACACAGTAAACACAAAGTTACTGAAATTTGCCGAGGCCCTACCAATTCATACTCTCAAACCCGATCTTTGCAAACAACGTGAATGGTTACTCACATTAACTTTGCCCTGGTGATTGACCTCCTACCCTCTCTCGTCAGTATCCGAAAACTTTCGGTTACATTTTTCGCAATGAGCCAACTTCTACTCGGGGAGCATGCTGGTTTCACGTCCCCCTTAACCGCTTGATCAATAATTTTGTAATGATTGGAGTCCCATGAACCAAACCATTTGTGCATCAATTAGGCCTACTAATTACAAGTCGAATGAGGTTTCATTTCAATTCACCGCTGTCTGAACTGACACACTGTATTGTTTGGCCAGTAGGAAACCGAAACCCCATTCGTTTGCGTGTGTTACGTGGACTAATCTGGTTTGGCCTCCACAAAACGAATAGCACACACACACCGGGCATATGCATTCGCCGTGATGAGTCATGGAAATCGAGGCCAAGCGGATGGTCGAATGTGCGCAAGTTAGTGCGTATATTTGTGTGTCTATTCTGTCTGCATGCACACAAGCACACATACACGTACTGACCGCCACTTGCGTCTTGGTCAAACGTTATCCCGTCCACTCTGCATGGTTAGTTGTCCCTACCGGTCTTGTTAAACTATGATGATGAGGCTCAAGACCGGGCTCAGAGCTACCGCACATGCCCAAGCACCGATTTGTCCGATCGATTGCAATCAGGCAAAAATGGGGCACGAATGACTACTTTGTTTATAGAGATGAGGTCTCGTTCGTTGCACACGTGCCTATGCATCGTGTATGTGTACAAGACCAGAAGTGACCAAAAGTAAAAACACACACAAACAACCCTACAAGCGCACGCAGGCCAGGAACAGATCGAGAGAGAGAGACTGGTATCGGATGAGGGAGTCTGATGAATCATTATCAGTTATCATTTTAGACAGAAATGAAAATCACAAACAGTTCCTTCCACACACACACATGACAAACTGCTAAATTCCTGCCTCTGCCTCACCCACACAGGCACATTGGTTAAGGTACGCACTTAGACCGTCTAGGTAGGGCTTGTCATTGAGCTATCCCGAGGAAAATTAGGTATCGGGGTCATGTCACACGGCATAGGAAGACAATGCAGCACATCCATTCTCCCTCCACCGCATTTCGGTACCATTATTGGTGTTATTGATGGCGTTGTCGTTGTTGCCCTACCCTTGATAATCGGTGAATTTCGTGATATGCGGAAATGGGCAAAACCACGTTGCTATAATAACTCTTTGTGAACACATGGCATCATATATCAAATAAACCGTCTGGCAAATCAAAGCAACGCCACAGATGAGAACAAGTGGAAGAAGATAAGGAGACAAGACTTCGCGGTTGTTCCAGTGAAGTTTACGACTATGCAATGTTTGGTTTACAGTTGACGCTTACCTGCTAGTAGATTGTTTTTACACAAAAATGCCAGACGGTACAATTTGCCGTTGGAATAGCAAAATTCTGGTCCTGCAGTTCAAAAATATTCGGTTTCATTACCAAGGACAATATGTAGGAAACTGAAAAGCAAGCGACTGATGATTTTTATCTCAAACAGTTGTGTAGTACCCCAAACAAGAGACGTTTTGCGTTCTATAAAATGAAAAATGGCCCCAAACATTATCCGGCACGATGATCAAGTGGGCCATACACGGGCTTTCTACCTATGCGGTCCAGCGTCCGCGATCCTCAGTTGGATCGATGAATTCGTGCTGCTGATTAGACCTGAACAGGTTGGAACAGCTGTGCAGAGCTTCTACAATAGCACGATAGCATTCCTTGATGTTAAACAAAGTTGAATTGACCCGAATTTCATTGGCGGATATGCTTTCCGGGACTCTTTGGGAGCCAACCACAAAAAACTACTTCATTTCCAATCAGTCATTGATACAAACGGTGTGTTTACCCCCTATAAATTCCACTTATTGCCGACAATCAGAAAGATTCGGAGGCACTGTGCAGTTGTATGATCTATGTTAGAAATAATCAGCAGCGGACATGAATTGAACATGCCCCATATAGCACTATTTTCTGCAAATGAGTTACCTATGACAATGCTTCATTTAGCTTCAGACGCTGCTTTCAAACGGCGTCTGAATGAGCACCTGAAGGGCTATGGAGGAACAAACACTTGTGATCGGACCTTCGACCCAGTGGTGATGGTGCTTACGCGGGCACCCTGCCCTCTGCCCTCAATCCTGAAGACTGAAGACTAAAGCGCCAGTCGGTTCAGTACTTAAGTACTGAACCGACTGGCGCTTTAGTCTTCAGTCTTCAGGA